TATCTATCTATCTAGATAGATAGATAGATAGATAGATAGATAGATAGATAGATAGATAGATAGATAGATAGATAGATAGATAGATAGATAGACAATTCTTATGTTTGCAGAAGCTTTCCGTGTTATTCTGAATATGCCTGCTAGTTGTACTGTAAGTCGAGAGTCTTGAGCAGATCACTGGTAACCTAGAGGTTTGAATTTTCAGTCACTGTTCAGATGTTGACATCCTTCATTTCTGAACACTACTTCTTTTTTTTTATTAATTCTGATCCCTCACCAGAGTAAGAATGAAAAGCAACATGACTAATGCTATAACTTTTAATTTGTTCTAATCCAAATCTAGGCGATTTATGTTTGAGTCTTACAATCTGAACACTTTTATTCTTTATAACAGTAACACAGAGCCCACACAGAGGTGGACTCTTTCCAAAAACTCTTTGTGTCTCTGAAAAGACTTCTTACAAATATTCCATTAGTTTGTTACGCAGAGAGGAGCGGTGAGAGAAACATCAGACTTCACTCTATCTCAACTGAAGTAATTGTTTTATTGTCTCTTGCCAACATCATGCACATACAGACAACAACTTCCCAAAAAGGCCCCCAATCCATTTCCTGCTCCCTTTAAATACTCTAAAGACCACGCCTTCTCAATACAGACTGGCCTATAAAAGAGCTGCAATTGAGGCAAGCCTCCTCTTTACTGGGAAAACAAGATGGCCACCACAGAGGTAATCTGCAAAACACTTTGTTACATGAATGCTTCCGAACATAGTTAAAGTGTTACAGTTGGAGTAAAAGTAACATGAAAATAATGAGTACATTTAATTTTCACCTAAACAAAATGTATTGTCACTAAATGTCTCACACAAAAGTCCTTTTGGAGCTTATTTTCATGTTGTTGGGCCGATTATTCAATGCAGTCCTTCCACACAAGTACACAATAATAATACATCCATCTGGGTTTGGGTCAGGGTAGAACGAGTTTATGCAGAGAATCCCACACCTCCCTCTCTCTGGCCACCTTCCTGAGTTCATACTGGAGGAACATAGTAGGGTTCTCAAGCCAGCTGAGAGATATGGGTCTGCCATGGAGCCTTCTCCTGGTAGGACATGCCCAAAACACCTCACCCAGGAGACATCCTAGCGGTTCCCATATGGTTTCAGCATCTTGGTGAATTGCCGGAACCACATCAACTGTTTCCTTTATTGTCAGGAGCAATTTGGGAGGGTCTTCTAAGACAGAGTAGTCTAGGGTGAGGGGGCAGACTAAGAGTGATCCAGAAAACTGTTTTTACAAGAAGAAAACAAAGGGACATGACTACCCTGCCTGGGAAAGGGTTACACTTTAAGGGAACTAGGCATAAAAATGTATATTTATGTCCATAGTAGTGGGGTCTCTCACTCTCTTGCTTAGTTCCTGTGGCTGGTGGTATTGGCTACATTTTTAGACTGTGAATAGCGATGCATGAACAAAAGCAGTACCAAAGCAGGCTTTTGTGGTGGAGCCATTTTTATAGACAATTAGGTCAGAGGTTTTCAGACAGCATTTACCCACTTCTCAAGCCAAAAGCACTTAATGCCTTTACATGTTTAAGTAGCAATTAAATCTACAAGTTGTTTTATAGTGAAATAAAGATAAACAAAGACGCAAGCTCTTTTGCTTCCCCACACCTCCACAGAATCTAAACAGTAACTGAGAGGGGTTAGAGGTCAAAGAGGAAATAATATGTAAACTTTTGGTAAGGAAGTTTGCACTCACTCTAGGGAGCTAATAGAATAGAATAAACCTTTATTATCCCACGGATGAGAAATTTTGGTGTTAAATTGTGTAAAATTTGGTATAAAATGAAGTTGTTATCACACCTTGATTTGGGAACTAATAACTAACTAAATGGTAAATGGATTGTATGTGGTTTAATGCTCCTCTAGTTATAGCAGACATTGAAAGCACCTACGCTACAAGCCACCATCATCCTTCCAGAAAGTCCTGTTTTATTGCATGCATACAGTGTCATTCAGCTTGACACACATTGGAGACATTTTTTAGTGTTCACTGCCTAAGAACACTTCATCATGAAAAGCGGATGAGCTCGGGTTATGTACTTTAGTAAATTAATGTAATTAAGGGAAAAATGTATTTGCTGGATTATTGTCAGTATCCACTAGAGGTGGGAATCACACATTACCTCACAATAGCACACTGATGATATTCTGATGCAGTAATTCTGTGGTATTTGACACTTTGCAAGACAGAAACTCAGTGTCTGTGTAACTGAAGAAGAAAACATACTCCTAAAAAAGCAAGAGACTGTAATTATCTCCAATTTGCTGCACAAGAGTGTTAGTGTGTGCATATTAACATTATTCTTCAATTTAAATAATATGTCAGTTGGCTAATATGATCTTCTTATGTTATGAAGTTATGAAGTAGTTTCTCTGAGTAAATGTCAGGAGAAACCATTAAAAACGTCTGTTTGGTTTATTAAAAATGCTGATTTTTGGTGACTGTGTGTCTATAATCAAAAGAAGAATCAATTTCATACAATGCAGTTTTGCTATTTTTTTTTATTATTCCATTAGCCAGTCTACAGTCCTCCTCAAACAACATCTAGCAGTTTGTAAAAGGGCGACTTCTGATTCTACAAAACAAAAACGGCGGATTAGTTTAAAGTTAAACAATTTCTTTATAAAAACTCACACACCTACCACTACAAACCACATTTACCATGATTGCAAATGCTCAAGGCTGAAAAATGCTGTTGGCTTGTCATAACTTGTTCAGTAATGGGTTACCTGTTGTTTCTGGGAATGCAATAAAATGTGTTTCAAAAGGAGTTCACAGTACTTCGAAACGACCAGATTCTGAACATTGTATTTAAAATCCAGCACAGATGTAAACAAAGACAGCAAATTAAATTTTGAGTACTCCAGTTTCAGGATCCTGGTAGCATGCATGTTGGCTAACCGTTCCATAACTTTCCACAGTCGACAGACAAAAACTGATTTGCTGGTGGATATGGCTTTCCTCAGTTTTACAAAGACTGATGGCCTCACCTCCATAAAATGAGACGACATGCTTGCTACTAACCAATCTCATCGGTTCTGTTTCCAGACACAGTGGGCAGCTTTTCTCACCAACAGGAAAGAAAGACAGCAGTTTGTGTGCATAGTAAACATTTAACCTGGCAAAGAGACAGATGTTCCCCCCTCAAGAACTGATGGAGTCAAAGCAAATGCAAAATATGGTCATGCATGTTTAAGTTAGCAATTCAGTCATGTACTATCACGTCAATATATTTTATTGTTTCACAGAAATAAAAAAACCAACAACAATGTTTTGGCTATGATTTGTCATTTGATATATATTTTGGGTTTGATTTTGCTCCTTTCTTTAATTGGGCAGCTACCTTTCTCATTTCCATATCCTCCCACTCTACCGGAATGTTCCCCAATGTCATCTTCTGTTAATAAAATAATCACAGTTGGTCAATTAATCTCTTAATTGTCACCAACCTCAATATGCCACCTGTTTCTTGTTAAACCCCCTTTGTCATGTCTCATTACTTTATCAGCTCAGTCATCAGTGCATCTTCCCACCTCCACATTCCCACAGGGACATAGCACATTTAGCCAGTTTGTCTCTGGGCATATATGAGAGAAGTAGAGCAAAACCTGATTTCCGGTGCTTCTTTTGAAATTGAAAGATTTTAAAGATTGCACAGCTGCTGGCCCATACGATCTTAAATCACCCATATAGAAACCGGGGATGGCTTTGGTTTTCAGAAGGCTTGAGATGACTTTTTTTTTTTTTTTTTTATATATATATATATATAGCAAATTCTGTGCAAGTGAGCAGTTTAAGGCACTGGAAATGTACCACCAGAACAAATTATGTTTTTCCTGTTTGTTTAAGAATTTGGAGAAGGTAATGAATTCTCATAGTATTCTCCCGCTGTACTATCTATGGTGCCCTGAAAGCAGTAAAGGCTGACATGGACAGAATTTATACTAACAAAGAGCAGCTAAACAGAATTTTTCACAGAAACCCACCATCTCACACACTTCTTGTCATCTAGCTCCCTGTCACTGAAGAGTAAGGACTTTATAAGCTTCACCTTTCTTCCATCTGCAGCCATGTTTACCTCAAAGTGACACAAGGGATTTGACTGTTCACAGATTAATGGAGATATCAAACATTCCCATGGTAGCTGCAGCTCCATAGACTGTATCAAAAAACATGGACATATCCACAGAGCCATCACTTATTGGTTAATGAAGTCTAGGAATAGCAAAAATATAAACATTTGTCACTTAAGTACAGGTAGAAGTACAGATATTTGTGTGAAAAATAATCTGGCAGTACTGATTCAACTTCTTTACTCTTAAGTAAAAGTGAAAAAGTAGAGGCTCTGAAATGTAGTGAGAGAATAAAAATGTGCAAACCTAACTGAACCTTGAAGTGAGGTTTAGCATGTGGAGGACCCTACGATCGGGTGTAGCAGTGTAGTGTGTGGAAAAGAATTAATTAGACATAAGTTATAATAATTTCTCCTGTG